TTTCACGTAAAACAAAAAACGTATTAGGCCATTACTGATGATGAAATGTTTTATTATTATTATTATTATTATTTCTATTTTCTCGAAATGCTCCGAATATGAATTATTACTTTCAACTGACAGCGTCTTTAAGTAGAAGAAAACTGAAATGTCTTAACGACGCTATTAATAATGCTTTTGAAATGTACGTGTGTTACTGTATTTCTGAGTGTTTATTTGAATGATTTCTAGGATCTCCCATACGTCTCGCTTTCATCCAACCCTGATGGCTCTCACAACATGACAGGGGGGTTCTTTGGTCTCGTGTGGAAAGACTTTGAGGAGAAACTGAATTTCAAGTGAGTATCTGAAATGATGCAACAAAACCAAAATAAGCATAATTTCTGTGTAGGTCCCTTCTAAGCTCAAGAGGAGGTGCCTAGTAAATTGCTTTGTGCTAATAAGACTAAATTTAGAGAAATATGTGCATTGTACATATATAGTTGCAAAGCCGGTCACGGTAGCCGAGCGGTCTAAGGCATGTACTGTCTTCGCTCGCTTGGAAACCGGGATCATGGGTTCGAATCCCACTCAGAGCATGGATGTTTAGTTTGTGTGTGAGCGTTTTTCTGTGTTTGTGATTACCCGCCCAAGGAGTCCTACAGAATGTGTAAGATCTAGAAAAACCGAAGTGAACGGAGAAGTTCATGGAGGTAGGCCTAGGCCCACTGGGGCTGTAGTGCCAAGGAAAAAATAATATAGGTGCAAATTAAGAATTATCGATTCCTATTCAATACCGCTACAGCCCAAATTAAGGAACGTCCCAGTCGAGAGGAAAGCACTCCTGCTTCGTATTCAGAATGTACCTTGTTCAAATCTAGGCTCGCAGACAAACTGTCAGCTTCTCCAGGCAAATTCCGGATCAATATCTTAAATAGATCCTAATCGCTTCCTCCCATATCCATTTGAGTTCATTAACCGCTCTTCATCTTATCATTCTACGCTACACAATCTCAGCTACTGAGTGTGTATTTAAATGCACAAAAACAAAAACAAAAAGGCTCGAATATCGTCTACTTATTTCATACCTAAAAAAATCCTTCAGCTTAAAACTTGACAATCAAATTTCAACATCGATATTCCCCAGCGTTTTCGATCACAAGACTCTCCGATCCATTAAAGTGTTGCAATTTTGACGTAAGATAAACAATGGACGCTAATATTTATGTTATATTTACAGAGACTGTAAAGAATGAGGATGATAGAGCAATTCGCATGAATACGACGCGTCCGTTACCGAAGTAGTGGCCTTAAACAACGGTTCACATCAATGAGCTTTAATATAATATTAGATTTAACATTTTGAACATATTATTAACATACACAAATTGTAAAGTTTCCTCACATATCTGGTATCCTCCCTGAAGACGGTCAATTATGACCGAAAAACTAGTAATTACCTCTCAGTTTGTTTATAAGCAGGAAATTCACTGCTTTGCCGACAGATTTGAAGAAAGATGCTGCATTGTGAAGCTAATTAGTTCAGAATTAAAATAAGCTCAACATTAAAATATCTGAATATAAGATTAGATGTCTGTGCTTAACTTACAGAACCAACTTTACTTACTTAGAGCCAGGATTAAACAAGTACGAAGTGGACGGAAGAAAAACGGACCCTTACAACAAGATGGTGGCCGATGTGCGCAGAAGGAAATACGACATCGCTGTGGCAGCTCTTCACACTGTCAGCGAGCGAGCCAAAATTGTGGACTACACGTATCTCATGCACAGGAGCAAGTACGTGCCACCAGTCACATATTTCACTAAGACTAGCATATGAGAGGCCTCAAAACCTCTCCAGTGAATACCATCCTGGGCCAGCTCCATCCACTTCACATAATTGCAACTAGTTTCCTAAGAGCCAACCTGGTTGCTTTTCCGAAACTGTTCAATGGACTTCACTAAATATCTACGTAGAAAAGTTACAACAAGAAAGTATTTACAACAATAAAGAAATTAAGAGCTGATTAAATTAAGGCAATTTTTATTATCACTGAGTTCAATGTCTCCTGTCTAGGTGCCTAAAGTTTAAACACAAATTACAATTTTACTTGTTGCATTACATGAAAGTAAAACTTGGCCTCTCATCCTAAATCAAGAAACATGAATTAAGGGCATTTGAGAACAAAGTAAATTAAGACATAAATAAACGTAGATTTGAGAAAATTAGCCCACAAAATGAGGATCTTCATATTAGGAACCCTTCATCTAATACAGTTCTGTGATTACCATGCCAATGAATTTGGATAAGTGGGACTGTAGCACGCATGGGAAACAAAAAAAGCATACAATATTCCAGTCTGAAACCTGAAGAGTCCGTATGACTTGATCTTAGGTGGAAGAATAATATTAGCATTGATTTTAGGTAAATAGGATGTGAAGGAATGGATTGGATTAAACTCGCCCATGACAGGATCCAATGGAGGATCTTTGTGAAATCCTTATTCAGTCTTTGGGTCCGATGAGAGCAGAACTTCTTAACCATTTAAACAACTATCAGTTTTCAAGGAATATTCTACACTTCAGAGTTGATTTGAGCACGAACTTCTTGTTGAGTAATGCCAAGATCTCCACAGGTTTGTAATAGTAATGAAACCGGCTGCCAACGAAGACATGGCGTGGAACCATTTCTTCGGACCATTTCATCCCTCTCTTTGGTTCGGCTTGATTGCTTGCATCTTGGTAATAGCAGGCTGTCTGTCACTATTCCACTACGTGGGACAACGCCTGGCCTACCCTGAGTATGAGACACCGAAACAATACACTTTCTTGGTGTCCATTTTCTATGTGTTCAGCATGTTCTGTCAACAAGGTAAGTACTAACGTTATGTATCAATTATTATGTGCTCCTTATTCCATTCTAACAGTTACCGTTTTCAACCTTATCATTTAAAATCAACATATGTTTTTATTAAACGTTCTTCTTGAAAGACATCCATTTTCAGAAGCTGCCTAATTAAATGTAAAATTCGTGTTAATTTGCAAAACGTGGCATTCCTGTCCTGGTCACAGTTCCTGCGAAACTATGATCCATCCAAATAACTCCATGGTGCAAGCCCATCTTAAGGAATTGACATTCGTTATGGAACACAATGATTTACTGACATATTCACAGGAAACAGATACTGGATTAACATAAATCCCGTCAACACTCTATGGCCTTGAGATCCAACTTAATATAATCCTTCCATCTATACCTAGGTCTCACATGTGGTTCCTTCCCTTAAGATCTTTTTTTATCCAAACTCTATTCATTTATTGTGTCTACCACGCCTCACATTTTTCTCATTTCATCGCCTTAATGACTGATGACGAGTACAAATTATTCAGTTCCTTATTATGCAGGCCTCTATCCTCCTGCCGCTTTCACTCGCTTAGGTCCAAGCATTCTCCCTACCCCTCAGATATTATCAATGTACTCGTATGTTCTTTTCTTAGGGTAACAGACCAAAAAAGAACTGAAATTATGGTTTTCTATATTTTAATATATACTCCACTTTAGATGAATAGTCCATTCACTTCATAAAATCACTATAAAACCTATGAGCTTATACCTCTAACGCTGCCATCTTCAGGAAGTCCGGGGTTTCTTCTCCTCTCACTGAATTGTAAGGTACTCTAGGCCTGTACTGCATGCGAGTCATGCTTTACTCGTTTAGATGAGAGCTGCAAAAATGTCGCAGTAATAATAATAATAATAATAATGGGACGGTTTTATTCCAGACTGCATTTCACGAAATTTCCGATGACATTCTGTATAATTTATGAAGCTTGCGTACAGCCTGTTTATCGATTTGTGGACTTTATTATGGGTCAGTATGTCTCAAATTTGGAATTCTCCGACAATGTTCAGCAACAACGCAGTCTTATAGATCTGTCTCTGTCTGCAGGCCATGACGTGACACCTAAGTCTTGCGCGTGTCGCTTGGTATACTGGCTGGGGTACGTAACAGCCGTAGTGGTGCTTGCCGCCTACTCAGCTACTCTGATCTCGTTCCTGACGATCCAGAACAAGGAACCCCCCGTCAAGACTCTAGAGGCCCTTGCCAAAGATCGCTCTTACGAACTGGGAATGATGGAAAAGTATCTCAGGATTATCAGAGGTGTAAGACTAACCTTCCGAGTATTATGAAATGGATAGCTCTGGGGAGAATTCACGACGCCTCGTCTCCTTCGAATGCTTCATATAAATGGCCAGACTAACAAAAGCTATCAAATAATTATTATACTATGTAAAGGCCCAATTCTATGCACAATTTTCCAACCAGCGCTGATTTCGGATACTTTACATAATTTAGAAATAATCTCAGAATTTCCAATGTGCGTCATGTTTGCTGCTGTTACAGATTTTTTAGATATAACTTCAGATTTCCGCATCGGCGTTGTGTATGATGCAATTATAATATATAAAATATTTGATGCGGAATTTGACTTTGACTGTCGCTACTCAGAGTAATTCTGTGCAGTTACAAGGTGCGAATATAAATATTTCAGATATATAAAATTATTTCTGTATATGCTATATGTTTTGTCCAAGAAGTGGAATATTGCAGCTTCCATTCAGCGACTTTCCACAGTGCTAAATATAACTAACGCTATCCATACTAAAGGAATTCCTATAGTCGTGAAAATATCCTAAGTCATTTAGTTGAGCTTTATTGTAATGATATCTGTGACCTCTGAATGACAAGCGTTTCTATTTTACAGAATTCAGAACACGGAATCACAAAAGAAATATATGAAAGCAAGATCGTACCGGACCCCAAGAATATTGTCAACACAAGCTTGGAAGGATTACAGCGCGTCTGCAACGCCAAGTACGCCTTCTGGACAAGTGTTGAGGCTGTGAAAGAAGTCGGAGATTCAATAGACTGCAATATCGCCTTTCTAACATACAGCCACATTTTAAATTTAGCTATGATAGTCACTTACAACAACCCTTACAGGCGTTTGATTAATCATCAGTAAGTGTTTGTCTTCGGTTAGTTCATCTGTTTGTAGTACATGTAAACAAGGAATTGTGTACTATAACTTTTCCCCCCCAAATTTTGGCCTTGGTCTACCTCCATGAAACTCTCCGTTCCTATTCGGTTTAATAGATCTTAGACATTCGGTAGGAGTCCTTGGGCGGGTGATCAGCTCGTCGCAAGGCCTCTACCCGTACACAAACACAGAAAAACGCACACACACACATACAAACACTAAACTTCCATAACTTGGGTGGGAATAGAACCCACGATCCTGACTTCCGAGCGAGCGAAGACAGTGCATGACCTTGATCGCTTGGCTACCGTGACCGGCGTACTATAATATCACTTTTTTTATTTTGCATAAAACTGGAAGCCGGAATAATTGTTATAATAGCATATGTGCTGCCTTACAGGCGAAGCGCACACTACACTGCACTACACTTGTACTTTTCTTCTGGTGAAGCTTCGCAGAGAAACTCAGCGTAAATTATTTACGAACTTTATGTTTAGCGCTGCTTTACGACTTTCTTCATTAATAAAATGATTAATAACTTTAAGGAAATGAAACAATTATCAAAATGTATATATGTGCGACTCGTACAAGTACTCTTAACTGATGGTTGCTCAGCCGGACAATAAATCCCCTGCCTTTTACGGAACCAACGGTTCCGTGACTATAGTCACGAGGTTTTCATCCGACATTTTTAAGATAATTTCAATTTAGAAAATTCATTTCTTCATTCATTAATATGCTTCGTAGCAGTTTTCCACTTGTGTAAACCGAAAATAAATTATGTGAAGAATTTCAGAAGAATATATTTTGGCTTATTCGACAACGTGCTCTCAACTAAGATGCGTATTTTCAAGTACGGTTTTCTATCCCTTCGGCATTGAATAGCACGACACTGGAAACCCTACACACCCCTGCTTCAAATATATTTAGTAAGGCCTAGGCTTTTAAAAACTGCAGGCCCATTAAAAGAGCGGAGTCTGCTTATTTATTTAATTAATGACGGTGTCGGGACCCGCGGTAGCGTAGTTTAAGACACTATGCAGGCCGCGCCAAAGTTCAAGCGGTTAGTCGCTGGCTTCCCACCGCGGCGGCCCGGATTCGATTCCGGGTCTGGTCAAGTGGGATTTGTGGTGAACAAAATGGCGCTGGGGCGGGTTTTCTCCGAGTACTTCGGTTTCCCCTGACAATCTTCATTCTACCAAATTCTCCATCATCATAATCACCCAGGGCAGGCTACAATAGGCCAATCAGTGGCCGCCGTGCCGAATGGACCCAGTTGGACTCCACCCCCTACTAAGCGAATTAAAAAAAAAGGCACTATGTTACAAGCAGGAAGGTCGCGGGACCGAATCCCGATGAGGTGAATGTTTTTAATTTACCTAATCCTCCAGTATTACATTCTTGTTATGCGTCACGGGTAAATAAGTGTTATATTTTTCTCAGGATGGGGACCAGTGGAGTGCTCTTGTGAACACGGTAATGAACCTTCGGGTTCCATAAAATACTGGGAAATTCTTGAGTAGCTGCAGAATTGGCGGCTCCTCCAGAAGGGCTCAGCTCCATGAGTAAGTAAGTACTGTGGAAGATCCGCGTGATTTTACCGTCTAACATGAATACTTACGGCATTTACTATATTCCATTTCTTTCGTTTCAGTTTCAAAACATTTGCACCCGTAAGTTGGACCGAAACGCGATTTTCCTGGTGTTGAACTGAAAACGACAATATACCCCTTCTGAGTTCGATTTCTGAACACATAACGAGCCATGAGGGCCAATTCTTCTTACGAGCATCTTCTCTTTCCTCGTTTCTTCCCATCTTTTGCTTTGATCTCAAGATTGTAGGAAACAACCCTACAGCTTTCGAAACTTGTCACTTGTCCGCAGGATCTCGCTGATGCAATCTGGCGGCGTACTGCGCAAACACAAGCTGGACTCGTGGGCGGCCCATGTGCCCGAGGCCCATAACACGTGGACCAGCGTTAGTGTTGGGCAGATATCGCCACTGTTGACCATTTTATCAGGAGGCGTTACTATTTCTCTGGCGCTCTTACTGGCCGAAACTGCTTTCAGCTGGTGGCAGAAACAAATTCAGCAACGAAACACATGGTCAGGACACCTCAGCAAGCAGTTGCAAACACAGCACCTGTTCTTCCGGGTTTAATGGCAGAGGTAAGTGAATCTTCTTGTGCCTGCTTCAGTTTGATGCGAAAGCATCGTTATTTTAAGTACCAAAAGTGTTTGGGAAGAATGGGACCGGCAGACGGATTAAGGAACTTTGTTCTTCTGACAACATATCATGAATCACACCCGCGAATCATACTGTGGCGTGTACAGTTATTGATGTGCAATAAGCGAATAAACAACGGTGTTGTGCAACCCGTTTCTAGACAACGGATCGATGAAAACGTTCTCGATCAACGAATACGAACACAACAATAGAGCTGCTGTTGGAAACGGTGTTTTATACTCCGTCCGTGCAAAGTCATTGTAAGGTTGACAGTTGGGGATGTGAAGACAAGAGAGTAGACAACCCCGTGTGGAGGCGGGGTAGAATACCTCAACCGTGACCCTGCGAGTCGGAGGAGGCGACGAAAAGGGAAGTCTCAATTCTGAAACAGTAAAATATGGTCGCGAGTCCCAAGGGACTCGGACCCGAGTAAGACTGCGCTGAGAAGGACCAGCAGCATATACAAAAGACAAACCCGTTCTCTCGTTAGAGAAACGAGACCGTAACTGTCAAACAGTAATAATTAAGCCCCATCTGGGGCTCGACACCAAGACTTACTGACTGACTGACGGTCAGTCGCAATGTGACTTTGACTTTGTGAAGACAAAACCCGTGTGGAGGCGGGGCCAAATACCTCCGCCGTGGTCGTGCGAGTCGTAGGAGGCGACGAAAAGGGAAGTCTCAAACCTGAGACAGTAAAATATGGACGCGAGTCCCAAGGGACTCGGACCCGAGTAAGACTGCGCTGAGAAGGACCAGCAGCATATACAAAAGACAAACCCGTTCTCTCGTTAGAGAAATGAGACCGTAACTGTCAAACAGTAATAAGTATCTGGTCACGAGTTCCAGATGGAGTTCGACATCAAGACTTACTGACTGACTGATAGTCATTCGCAATGCGACTTTGACTATGACTTTGTGAAGTCAACCTGAGCGTATGGAGCTGAAGAATCTACACTATTAGAAGTCGTTGCCAGGATACGGCTGATAAAGACACAGCAGGCTGGAAAATGGCTTAGCGGGCAATATGGTGATTTGTAAAGTGTGGAGATTAGCGACAGCGCTGTAATTACTTGCAGTTTCGAGTCGTGTGTATAACTGGTCAGTAAATCCATTTACCGATCCAAACCCCGTCTATAGTCACACACCCTTAATGCAAACGACAATAGAGATGATTTCTAGTTTTCGCTCAGAGCGGTGGCACCGGTCCGGCCGATCACAGTGGCTACGCAATCTAAGATATGAAATGTCTTCGTCTGTTCGAATGCTGGAATCATGGATTCGAATCCCACTCAAGGCATAGTTGCCTGTGTTTATTCTTTGTTTGTGTTGTTCTGTGTAGGTAGCGGCCTTACGTCTGGCTGATCCCCCGTCCAGGAAGCCCTACCGACTGTCTAAGGTTAAGAAACTGAAATGAAACAAAGCGTTTCATGGATGCCCTATGCTATTAGTGAGAGCAACGGGAATAGTGGGATTGACAGATGGATGGAAGGATGAATGGATGAGTGGATACTGGCCCGCAAAATGTAGTTATTGTAGTTATGGATCTGTACATCCTCTCCCCCCATACGCCATCATGGCGCTGTGTTTAATTAGTTAAGCATAGGGACAACTTTACTTTTACCTTACCTATACAGTTACTTGGACGGGACGGACGGGACTACATGGCTCGTTTATACATGAAAAAGATAAAATCTGCCACTTAAAAGCAGGTGCACAGGAGCAGGATAGTCCAATGTAAACAAGTTGGAAATTAAGAATATACGTGTAGATGGCACTGTTAATGCCGGAACACAAATCCTAAACGTGGATTTGTTTACGTTTGTTATTACTTTCATAACCTATTTTTTTTATAAAAATATAAAATACAAATTCGCATGGGGTGGATTACGGCTTAAAATGGATACTGAGTTTTCGTTGAACGACTTCCCCAGTGAATTTGTCTACGATATTGATAATAAAGAATCAAACATAAGCAAGAAATACCTTCTAATTCGAGCTAACCTCCAAAATAAGGAAGATTGTGAACGCTGGCTGAAAGCCTATGAATCAAAAAGCAGAACGAAATGGATTGTTGCGAAAGTAATGACGACACCGTTCAGGTATGTCAGAAGCTTCTTGTCATTGTTTTTTTTAATCATAACAATAAAATGAACAGATAATTCTGTGAAGGGGTTGATTGTACTAATCGACTTGGCAGTTGGTCTTTGTCACTTCCAGCGCCAGTAGATTAGTACAGTATCTGGAATAGTAGCTACTTGTTATTTCATAGTTCATACACCAGTGGCTGTTGGCCCTCCTTAAAAAATTCCTTGTCCCTGCAGCCAGGAAGCAGACTAATGAAAACAAGGCCAGTCGAGTCTGACTTACTAAATTCTACAAAGGCTGATGCATTTGTTTTGCATATAATTCCTATATACCAGTCACGCTGCATGAACAGAGTGAAGCTGAGAGTCTACCCATGCAGAATCACATTACATTCCACTGGACTTAATTTAATAATGCCTCTAGCCATATGCTTATCTGATATTGTCATTTGTGAGACACTCTTACTCTTTAAATGGTACGATCTGGCATTCAGAGTTTCGCAAATAAAATTTGCCTGAAAGGACGTTGGCATCTTTCACACTGTGTACATGCCAAGAGTCTGCCCCTGCCTGTGCACTCAGACATGAAGACTGTTGCAAGTACAGTGTTGTTCACCTTTTGCTGAAAACATTCACGAACTTTTTGATCGGTTTTGATTAGCATTTTTATTATTTTATATTCATATTTGATTTTATGAAGTTTATTTCATTTTCATTTTAAGAATCGACTTCAGTGACTATGACAGAAATGTTTAAATATGCTGGTCCAGGTGAATGTAGATAAAACACAGATTTGCTGACAGTTTATAGAAATTTGTTTTCTGTACAACCTAATCCCTCCACACCCATAAAAAGTGCAGCTTTGTTAAAATGAAAGCAATTTATGTGTACATAAATATGATGCCCTTCAAATCTTTATGTGAACATGTGTACTAATGTTCATTTTGTACCACACAGGTCTGTTTTTCACAAAATGTGGATGTGCCACTTAAGCAACAGAAACAAGTCCAAGGATTCACAACGCTCCACAGACTGCAAGGCCAAAATTGACATAAAAGTTAAGAAGCTCAACAGAAACACTAAACGGAAGGATAAATATTTGAGAAGGGACCCTCCTTTAAGTGCAGTTATGCATTTGGTGCTGAAGCACAACCACCATGTTCAATGTGACAGTGTGTTAAAATATCTGAGAATAAGCCAAGAAGTTACAGAAGAGTTTGAATGCTACTTCAGGGATGGCCTGACTCCTATTGAAGCATGTGAAGTTCATGAAATGAAAATTAAGCTTAATGGAAATGCAGACATTAACCTTGCTGATGGTTCTCTAAATCCATCTTTGAGGAAAGTATATCATCTTTTCCATAAGTGGAGAAGGGTAACAGCTGCAGGGGCCCAGCCCATCAAAACTGATACATTAAGAGATCCACTAAAAGAAGCAGTTCAGTGTTTGAATAACCACAGTACCCAACTGTGCTGATTTGTAAGTCAAAGAATAGTCAACAGTACAGCATTTTGAACTGTTGCATCATCCAAGTTATAAAAAACAAAAAATTCTGGCAATAACTGTCTATTTTCCTTTCATTATAATTTGGGTATCTGATACAAGTAGAAAGAAAACTTCAGTATGTATGTATGCATAATGAATATATTTCCAAGAGGTTACAGTGTTGGTATTATTAATAGGAGTGATATATGATGTACATACCAAGTTTCATGAAGATTGGTTTGGGCATTGAAGTACTATTAAGGTTATTACCTCAATAATTTGAGAGGCTACAATGTTGGTATTACTGACAGGAATGATATATTAAGATTTGAGGCTTTCACGGCGGTGACTATGAAGAAAGCAGTCTTCTGGGATTTGGCACATTAACACCACATATACACGGTGCCAAATCCCAGAAGACTGCTTCCTTCATGATATATTAAGTACACTGAGCTAGAATGATATACATACCAAGTTTCATGAAGATTGGTTTGGACATTAAAGTACTATTGAGGTTATTACCTCAATAATTTGAGAGGCTACAATGTTGGTATTACTGACAGGAATGATATATTAAATACTATTAAGGTTATTACCTCAACAATTTTAGAGGCTTCAGTGTTGGTATTACTGATGGGAGTGATATATGAAGTATGCCCTGAGATAATTTAATGTGGCATGATACATGTAGACAGTTTTATGAAGCCTGGTATAGATGTTCATGCAATCCTAGGTTTGCCTCAGCAATTTGAGAGGCTGTATTGTTGGTATTACTGATGTTAGGGATGTACGAAGCATGCGATTGAGATAGGTTAAGGTAGCATGATGATCAGGCATTCAAGCATTATTAAGGTTATTATCAAAGAAATTTGAGAAGCTGCAGTGCTAGAATTACTAAGTGGGGCGATCAGTGAAGTTTGTTGTTGGGACAGCTTTATGTGGCATGACATACATACCAAGTGTCATGAAGACGGGTAGAGGCATTCAAGTAATATTAAGATTTTGCCTCAGCAATCTAAGAGGCTGTAATGTTGATATTACTGATGGGAGGGATTTATGAAGCAAGCTGTCGAGATTGCCTCAGATGCCATGATACAAGAGTACATACCAGGTTTCATGAAGATTGGTTTAGGCATTCAAATGATGATGATGATGATGATGATGGGGGGGATGCACATACAGACACATGCCAAAGTGAACTTAAAAGGCTACTTTCATTTTTTCACAATAAAGGAATCAGACTAAAAATGTAAATACATCACCCTTTAGTAAAGAGATGCATCAGGAATGTAAATTCTTTTAATTTTGCAAATTATTTATATTATTACAATCACTATGAATGACAACAAAGAATGAAAATAAAAAATAAACAGTTTGTTACAATTTTTTAACACAGGTTAGTTTTATATAATATCAAATGTTAGGGGTCACCTAAAGATAAATTAAGGTAAGGAGCAGCCATCCAAAATTTACTCAGCATTTTTTTTTTAACAACACAGGTCAGTTCTATGTAACATCAAATGTGTCAGCTGAAGAGAAATGAAAGTCAGGAGACATCCAAAATTTATTAGTCATCATCAGCAGCCCCACGATCTCCTGATGGTGGTTTGGGACCACCTACACGTTTTGCCATAATAATCTGATCAACCTTCAGAATGGTACTAACAGCATTTGTAGCATATTTCAAGCCCCAGAATTTTGTTAAGTATAGGTCAAGAATTCCAGCTTCAGCAACATCTTTAATTGCAGCCCCTTCTCCCTGAAACATAAATTAAAGAGACCACTGGATTAAAATGAAATTATCATTTCTTTTCACATTTGTTTGCATACCAATACAATACATTATTCCAGTTTAACAGTACTATCCAATTACAACACACTATTTGACCCAACCAACATGTTTTTGCTTTTTAAAGGGCCATCATCACATGTATACTTTTCTGACTTAAAAATATATTCAAGTATTTTGATGGGATTCATTTCCCAATATACCACATGTATAAAATCAAATGCAAGTTACCATCCAAATATATCCCATTTACTGCCTGAGTAGACTTGTGTTACAGAGACCGCCATATGTTTTGGTCTTACAAGACCATCATTATGGGGTATACCTCATTAAAAGACAACTTTACAATTCATGTGTGTAAAACCTTACACTATCTGGGGTATGAGTCCCCTGAACATTAGGCTTATGTTGCAGTATACTGATATAAGTTATATTAAATGCTGAAGTTAACAGCATTGTTTTATTAAGCTATTTGGGGCTCTCATACTAGCTTTTGATTGGTGTCAAAGAACATGAACTCTGCAGTCAGGTGATGGTGCCGTGCTGAAGTGCTGAACTGTTCAGGTACTGGTGATGTGTACATCTGCATGTGACTGGCTTTGTGTGTGTGCATTATTGGGGGGTTAGTTTGTCATGAGGGCATGCCCTATCATACGCATGGGAAAAAATGTTCTTTTCTTTAATCATATGATAAAATTAATTTAATTAATCAAAAAGTAACTCTGACATTATTCAACAAATGCTGACCATCTTACGTGAAACACTGAAGTTTCTTACATACATAAAATGTGTCTTTTAAACTTAATGTTCATTATTTATCGTCCGTCAATATTGCAACACTTGTTTATTCACTACTTAATTTTAATTTAACATTATACATTTTGACACTACATGTTTAGGCCCTAAACGGCCATCTTCAGGTGTCTTGATATGTTACAAATATTTTATTAAATTATGTTAAAGCTGCTACATTGTCCTAGTCCATGTTAAAATCACACACTGTAGTCCTCTTTTCAAGGTAAAACCAGATAAAATCCTTTAAAGTTTCTATTATACCCACTTTATTTTGGTGCATATCATTTCACCTCACATGGAGTGTCATCCATTGTTTTAACATAATTTAATACAATATTTGTAACATATCAAGACACCTGAAGATGGCCGTTTGGGGCCGAAACATGTTGTGTCAAAGTGTATAATGTTAAACTAAAATTAAAATTAAGTAGCGAATAAACTAGTGTTGCAATATTTACGGACGATAAATAATGAATGTTAAGTTGAACAGTTGCAATGGGATACTGAAATACAGAATCCAAAATAGTGTCTTTTTAAACCTTATTTAAAAGCTTCTGTACATTGCATTACATGTTTCAACCAACAATGGGCATCATTAGGTGTTTAAAATTGTTGATGGAAACTGGCGTGCTTCCGTTTTGCAATTCTATGTTCGATGTGTAGTCCCATCTAAGTTCTTGTGTATTTCATGGTGCTGGGTCTCTCTTCTTTGTGTATCTAGACTACTCTGACATGATCCAAAAGGAGGAAAAAGTGTCTTAAACTATAAGTTCTGAAATGTATATGAGTACGTATATAAATTTGAAATATACAGTGAACCAACCATTTTAATATTCCTCAACTTAAGATGTTCCCTCATTTACTGTTAAATTTCAGTCATCCCAAGTCAATAAATTCAATGTTAAATTTTCCCATTTATCATTTTCCTCGGGGTAGGTGTTCAGATCCACAGTGCCCCAGTGAAACCTTAAGTGTAGTTTCACTAACAGCTTCACCAGCAGTCTTGAGTTTATTCATACCTCAATGTCAAAACCATGATTCTTTTTCCCCTCTTCATGTGCAGCATACAGTTTTGAGATCACTTCACTGGCTTTCACTCCTGTATTCTCAGCTAGAGCCCTAGCAAAGGCTTCTAGTGCTGTGGAAAACTTTCTCACAGCATACTGCTCTAGTCCTGGTTGTGTATCACCATAGCTTGCAATCTGTCGTGCCAATTCAATTTCAGTGGCGCCAGCACCAGGAACAAATCTTCCATCCTACACAAAAGAACCAAATACAGCATGTAACACCTATATAAATAAAAACTGAAATAGCAGAGAAATCTAAAGGAACTTATAAATCAACTTAAATACACAAGCTGTACAGTAAGATAAGTAAATAAGTTCCTGTATATATATGACACATTCCACGACAGCTACGGGCCACAGGTTCAGTTCCTCACAGGGCAAGATTTTCTCTTCTGCATAGTGTCCAGACCTGCTCTGGAGCCCAACCTGCCCCCTATCCAGTGGGTACTATGGCTCCTTCCTTGGGGGTAAAGTGGCTGGGCCATGAAGCTGACAACTCACCTCTGCCTGGTGCCAAGGTCAAGAATTGTGCAGCTATACCTCCACTCCCTCGTGTCTTCATGGCACAGTGCTTAATCAATTAAGCACAGGAACAAATTTACTTTTACATTCCATGGATCAATAGTTAGTCAAAAATGACTACAAGATGAGGAATAAGTCATAAACGCACAAAACATATATGTAGCATACAACTAAAGCTTTCACATAAAAAATACAGAGGGTTCACGTAGTAAAAAAAAAGTAAAGCTATCCCTGTAACAGGCCGTGAAGGCCCATAGGGTTGTGAGACGTTGAGGGTCCCACACTATCTAGACAATCGGCTCAAAGATGGTGGTAAGGTTGTCAGCCTTATGCGCCGGCCACGCTTTACTCCCCAGGAAAATTATTTAATTAATTCCTGGTACTCATTTCTGTTAGAGGCTCAGTCGATCCCAGGGCCATAGTGCGGCCGGAAGGATTAGGTCAACTGAAAAAATCCAATGACCTCATCAGGACTTGAACCCGCGACCCTCCGGTCTGTAGCATAGTGCCTCAACCAGCTACACTACCGCATGCCCCCGAGGGTTCACATAGTAAAACTGTAAATTAATAACTGTACAGTCATTACATTTATATGCATAGTTTTCATCGGTATCAATTCACATTATGCTAAATTTATGTGATATAATCTCAAAGTTTCAGTCACCATGCCTGTAACTCTTCACATATGAAAACAATTTCATATATAATCTACAGATGTGCATATAACTGATTTCATGTCTTTGTAATGTAGAAACGGGAACAAGCTTCATGTTAATGGCATTCATTCAGCAAACAATACCAGCAATTCACTGAAGGTCACAATAAAGTGGGTAGCATATCTGCTTCATATCTGGCAGGTCCCAGGATCAAACACTGGCCTGGAGACTGGGTTAACAATATATAATGGTGTTTTCCTGTACCTGTTGTCTGTAACTTTCAAATATCAATGTTTGGGCAAAAAGACCAGCTATTCTGACTCCCATGGGAAATTCTACACTCAGGGTACGGCCTGAGTGCAGCGGGGCGTGGGCAACTTATGGCAGGGACAGCAGCGGGCCACTGCTGTGTCCTCAGTGCACCTCTAGCGTTCAGCATTTATATCCTCAAAAGACATCTTCCAAACGCTCCAAACACTATTGAAACACAAACTGGTTTGACATGCACGCTGCACGCTCCTCTGCACGCTAGTACAGCACACTGCCCGCTCCGCTCAAAACGCTGTCCCAGAACACGCCAATATATTCAAACGGGTTTGTGATGCATGCTGCACGCCCCACTGCACTCAGGCCATACCCTTACTGGATGCAATAATTCAAAATTAATAAACAGTTGTAGATTTGTACAAACATGGTATTTATGTATAGTGTAAATTGCAAGATTTGTTATATGTTTAACCAGTCTCAATTATAACAAATTAACTGGTTAAATTCCCTCAGGTTTATTGTCAGCATGTCACTGCAAGTGTATACTAAGCTTACTCTGGTTATGCCCTTGAAGGTGTTGACACCATCATCTATGGTCCTTTCAATGTCATCCATGTAACTGTCAGTAGAACCACGAATTACGATGGTAGCAATCCGTGATTCCGTGCCACCAACATGAAATACCACTACAGAAGTATCTGCAAGTTCATCAACAAATACTGAAGCAGCATAGCCCAGTTCATCAAGAGTTGGTGGTGTCTGTAAGAGTGAAAATTGACAATCAGATCTCTGCTACTCATTCATGTAATGAAATTCTATAACTGTTACTGTAAGAGGAAAGGGATACAAGCTGTTTGAAGTATAACTTCTGTACTAATAACCTGCAAAATTGCAAAAATTAACCTAGAATTTGTTGCAAATACAGTATACTCATTCATAGCTTGGCAGTGACAGGGCGAAAGAAGTTTGTAATTAAATATTTTCACTATGTAAGATTTGAGGCTTTCACGGCGGTGACTATGAAGAAAGCAGTCTTCCGGGATTTGGCACCGTGTATATGTGGTGTTAACCGACGTTTCGGAGGAACGTATCGCCTCCATCTTCAGGGTAGAAGGAAAAATATAAGATATTTGCAAGCGAAGAGACCATGAGAACCGGTAAAAGCAGACTGCTTGTGGATATCTTATATTTTTCCTTCTACCCTGAAGATGGAGGCGATACCTTCCTCCGAAACGTCGGTTAACACCACATATACACGGTGCCAAATCCCGGAAGACTGCTTTCTTCAAATATTTTCATGCTTTCGTATAATTTCTTCTATCATACCATTAACAGACAAGATTCCAAACCAAGCCTACTTAGTTCACTACAGCACAAAGCACACAAAGCAAAATAAGAATGCCATTATTACCAGTCTAGGCAATGGTGTTGCCCCAACAGCCTTGCATAATCTCCGAACATCCCACTTGCTATTCAGATGTACACCCATCATATTGTACTTGTTTATATAATGCAATGCCATATCACCAAACTTAGCACCTGACACAATTACATCAGCTCCAGAAAGAGCAATAGATTTAATTTGCTTCTCTAGCAAGTTTTCCTCTCCACGACTGAAGTTCATCAATTCATCAGCTGTCTTGATTAGAACTGTGGCCTGAAACCAAAATCAGTTACAGTCTGAATTTCATTTTACGCTCTTCTTTCATAAAGCTGTTATAAGACATACAACTTTCCTGGCATCATAACAACTTCTTAACCAATGGATTCCTTGGTTAATCCTTCCACAGTCTAGTTGAGGGGGGGGAGAAATTTCTTAACTCTGCTATATCTGGAGTAGTAGAACATTTTAAAAGTAAATATCCCTTCACACTTAACATAATAAAACAGTGAATGGGGCCATGCCATAGCTCAAGCTGTTAGTCGCTGGCTTCCCACTGCGGTGGCCCGGGTTTGATCCCAGGTCTGGTCAATTGGGATCTGTGGTGGACAAAGTGGAGCTGGGACAGGTTTTCTCCGAGTACTTCGGTTTCCCCTGCCAATCTTCATTCCACCCATTGCTCCACAATCACCCTCACCTATCATCTGGGGCTGATACAATAGGCCAGAAGTGGCCACAGTACAAGGAACTTAGTCCCACCCCACCAAGAAAGGGAGGGGGGGGGAAGGTGAATGGAAGGTAATTTAAATTAAATGATCTAACAGTGTCATGACAGAGTAAATTTAAATGGTGCAAAAGAAATAGTAATAATAAAGTAAAATTTTAACTGGTATGAACGTGCAACATGAATGACCATTGAATAAATCCCTGGGCATATTTAACAATACAAACCAACAGTCACAAACAGTGCCTTTTTTCTAAATACAGTAGAACTTGGTTATAACGTCATCAAAGGCACCTAAAAATAGTGTCGTTATAAATGAATGTTGTCGTAACCGAAATGGGCACTTCCACAGTAACCTTATGTTAGTCACGTAAAAATCTACCAAAAACCGAGTTAAAATGTTTCATTTTTTAGTGAAATACGTAGTTACGTACAGACTAACGTAACATTAACGTGGAATTGCCCAAATGTGTAATATCAAAGACATATTACAGCGCTTTTCACTGACAATACACACAATATTTCACGAATCACTTTAACTTTCTCTTCAATGCTTAAAACTTTCCTTTTCATTGCCATGTTTTCGCTACTGCACTTCTCTGGGTTTAGGCAGGAACACTATAGGGTAAGTAGACAATGTGAGGTCCTGTTAGACGAGATTCTAGGAAAGGAATGCAGTTAACAACCTGCCGTGTCCTCTTGCACTATTCACGCAGTCCCTCCCCACACCCTTGTTTTCACATAAAACCCATGCTCCTCTTGCAGCCCGCGGTCGTATTCTTCCAGGACAGTCACGTCAGCAAGTTGAGAAAGTGAGGGTGGGCAGACACATCGAACTTTCCCACGATATCAGAGAAATTCAGGAATGAAAATGACGTTACATATGAGGTTGATGCATTTGTGCATGTCGTACTAAGCAAGGTATAAAAACATTTGCTTTATGAGGAATTAGTTCGTACCATTGAATATTTGACGCAATAGACAAGGTGTCGCAGAAACCGATGTTGCTATAACCAAGTTTTACTGTATGTTTCCCAGTACTCTCATGTTCAGTTTGTTTCAAGGTTGAAGCTTACAATGCACCAGCAGATGTGCATCTATTGACATGTTTATCATTATACATCAACTGTCTGCTGGTATGCATACCACTGGAAATAGCCCTAGTCATGGGACAGAGAGAGGAAGACCAAAGAGAAAATGTGAAAACTGCTTTTTCTTCCTCATGTCTGAACAGGACTGTGTTACCTGTTACCTAACTCCTTCAGATTGTTTTGTAACACATGGACCACCAAAATATCCTGATGGGGCTTAAAAAGTAACTAGCATGTCCAACAAAGATTAACAGCACACTTCTGTAATCTGGCAAGCTAAGAGCAACAAACGTACATCACTGCTTACCTTCGTCTCAGTCTGCATAATATCTACAGCACATGTATATATCGCCACCTTTGCCTCAGATTTCTTGGTGACATCACCTTGTACCTGACGTTTAAAGACCATTCCCGGTACAACTTCTGAGTTCTGCACACCAGAACCCTGACAGACAAAACGGTTTCTTTTATATAAGTTCAGTATATTTACCCAAGAACATGCAAAAGTAATGACTAGTGACTACAGGAAAATATTTGGATGGGCTAATTATGAAATATAACACAACATGAATGAAAAATTGTTAAATGTAAATATCAGGAATTAGGGACAAAAACATGAACTCCTACAAATTAATGTGGCCATATTATTCCTGCTCATTTAACAAAAAAAAAAAAATACATTATGCCATCTCATTTCTGCATAATTAGCAATCAAAATAAATGTAGCTAAACACTTTCAGTTCATTTGGTAATAAAACTGTTGCATGTTGAACAAATACTTCTAAGAGTTCATTATAAATTCAAGTAGGCGAGGAAAAGATTACAATTATATAACTGATTTTCTCTGAGATAACTGCCGACAATTTAGAATTAGTCTTCAGTGCCCTGAAATTCAGGTGAGTTGCCAAGAAGCATAAACTTCTTCTAAATACAATTTTAAAATTAGTTCTCACCTTACAGGAAAAACACTGCATTTCCATTATAAAGATCAAATGGTTAATTCTACTCGGGGAAATAACCACTGCTTATTCTGAGAAGCATACGTCGGGCAAATAAGTTTCAAGACTCACTGTTAATTTCGGAGCTCACAAGGAAAGTCTGGATATGCTGCATTCAGCATTCATTGAACAATAACAGTTTGCTGTCAACTTTGCCCAGATGTGAAAATGAAGCATATGATGGAACAGAGAGTGAATGTCAAATTTTATGTAGAAATTGCCAAGTTAAATTTTAGATATGTTAAAAACAGTGTACAGCATATCTACTATGACCAAGAGTAATGTTTTTAATGGCACAAACGTTTCAGAGAAGGCAGGGAAGATTTGAACGATAAAAGGCAAGGTTTTCCCATAATGAAGCGAATGAATGAAAATGTTGCAAAAATCTGAGAGACAGGTGATTATACTGCATTCATTCCCTGGATCCAAAGTTAGTCAAAATGACTGTAGAATGTGAATATGTCATATAAATACAAAAACATATGTACAGTAAAATTCAAGTTTTCACACAAGGAAACACAGTGGTTACACATGAGGCTATTCAAAAATACATCCACATATATACATCAACACTGTGAACTTCTACTATTTACACAACTTTTATATGGGTAAGTCACTTTATAGACAATAATTATTTATCAAAAGAGTAGAATGAGTGTTATCAGTATGATCATGAGGCCAAACACAAGTCCATGGAGTGGAGTTTGAACAATTCCCCCAAGCCAAAGTAGCCACAGATGTCAAAGTCCAAGATCAGAATAATGTTGATCTGCTTTTTTGACATGAGTGGTACCATCCACTCTGAATTTGTATGAGTACCTGTAAGGGACCACTGTTAATCAAACATTTTATGTGGAGGTGCTGAAAAGCTTATTCATGCCGTGAGGGACAAGCGAGAATTCTGAAGAGATTGCTGATTCTTCACAACATGATGGCAAATTCTTCACTTCGAGTGTTGCAGTTTTTGGCAGGAAAATCAATCTCCACCATACTCTCCTGACTTGTCTTCCGGCTGTTTCTAAAACTTAAGAGTGTGCTGAAAGGAAAGTGTTTTTTGGATACTGAGGACACTGAATCATCTGTGAAAAAATTTTGACATTCCTGTCCAGGATTTTAAAAATTGTTTATAACAATGGTCAAAGCACTGGGGACCTTGTAAACAGCTGGAGGGAAATTACTTTAAAAAATTCTAGGTCATAAATATCTACAGCCCTTAAAATAAACATTTAAAAAAATTGCCCAACATGAAACATACAATTACACACTGTAGGCAATGTTAATCAAGTGGTACATATAGTAAACATTGTACTTCCAAGGAGTAAACAAAATTATGCTTACCGAAATCTTACACACCCTGACATTATCCACATTAAATGTTGTCATATCTGGCATGATGGATACTGTATGAAAATATAAACCACAAACTGCAATTAATACTTCAGTCAGTAGAAGGAAAAGAAATCTTACCCATATTTCTGTAAGCTACAGCCCATATCCTACATGTCAACATCAAAAACGAAAGAGAGAACAACAAAAATCATAAGAAAACATACAGTAATCAGAAAGATGAGTCTCGTGTTACTGCTGCTACAATATCCACACAAACTTGCAAGTGAACCTACTACAGACATTGACACCCACTTCAGCTTTTAAGGGGCCATCATATGAAACAGATGCAATATAGATCTTCACATGGAGCTGAGCCCTTCTTCAGAAGCCATCAGAGGATGCAGCTACTCAAGAACTTCCCAACATTTTGTGGAACCCAAAAATTCATTATCGTGTTCTATGGTCCTAATCCTGAGCCAGATCAATCCAGTCCATACCACTGCATCCTATCTCTCTACAATCCATTTTATTATTATCCAACCACCTATATCTTGGTCTTCCTAATGGTCTTTTTCTTTCTAGCTTTCCCACCAATATCCTATAAGAATTCCTTTTCTCTCCCATTCTTGCTACATGTCCTGCCCATCTCATCCTCCTTGACTTGATCATTCTAATTATTACCAAAGAATACAAATTATGAAACTCCTCATTATGCAGTTTTAGATGTAAAATATGGGACTTATTAAGAAGCATCACTTTGTAGATGTTATTAAAACATCACAAATTCTGTGCAGATAACATGAATGAAAATTCCCATGAATATGGGCAAAGAATTATAATTGACACTTCTATTCAAACTTCAAACTCAAACTGTATCAAAATCAAATACTATTCATACATCCCAAATCATACCCACATTCTTATTCTGTCTACATGCAAAAAATGAAATGGAAATCACTATTCACAAATTTCCTTTCTTAAATACTGAACACATACAGTGATACACCAATTTATAACAATTTATAAAGGAACACACTTACCACAAGCCTTTGCAATCAACTTTGTCAGAAAGTCCTCAATACCAAACTGTTTGCTCATAATTGAGGTTCTAAGGCCCTTCTCGACTTCAGCTTCATTTCTGTAGTCCTTAACTTCATAGCATGTGAGTGTGGGCAAAATTTCCAAAGCTTTTTCTAGAGCTAGTTCATATCCATCAACTATTTCAGATGGAGTCAGACCCTAAAAGGATATCAAGTAAGTGCTAATAACACATTCCCCATTGCCATTACACTCTGCTGGAAAGCACTATTATAACTACAGTAAATATCACCCACTCTTAGTGTCTAACAACAATGTTATTTATTCCAAATCAGCAAAGGTAAACTGCACACACCAATCTTTTTCATGCAAAAATCTCCTTAAAAAACTGACGCCTCATTTCAGCTTGAAGTATAGGTTACATCACACCGATATGAAGTGAAATTAAATACACCCAACAAGTTTTAGTGCATGTCCCCAAAACCAATGTTATCAAAATCGATCAGTAATTTTGGAGAACAGGAAGGCAGACAGATGGATACACCCTATTCATAATGCATGTAAAATGCTAAATGTGTAACTCTACTGCTGCAATACATCCTATCAATTCCGCTAACACCTTTCCTCATTGCTAACAGATACAGTTCATATATACATTAAAAAGCGATTACAACATAACCATACCATCCTCAGAAGATCTTCAGCACCTTCCAGAAGAGCTCCAGAAAATATTATGACAAAATTTGTTCCATCACCAATTTCTTGCTCTTGCATTTGAGATGCTAAAACCATCAATTTAGCAGCAGGATGTTCAACTTCTAGCTCTCTGATAACTGTTCCTGCATCATTGGTGACAAACAACTTTCCTAAATCATTAATAACCATTTTGTTCATACCATTTGGACCATACGAAGTCCGAAGAGTTTGAGCAAGCTGTTTGCAAGCACTGATATTCCTGTAAACTGTTTCTTCTAATCCTGTAAAATACTGCAAATAAACAACATGTAAAAATTATTCATATGAAATCAAGAGTTTTCTGGGAAAATGCATGCAAAAATAAATTTTACACCTTATGTACCAAACCTTCCTACATTTTGTCTGAAGGAAGGTCGGCGGTAGCTGGTTAAAACTTTGGTTTGTAACCCTGGAAGACGGGTGCTGTATTCTGAATCATGTTTGGTTGGGGATTCTAAATGTCCATTGAATTTCTCCGCTGTGCTCACCTTTGGAACTGTCTTTGGTTATTTCAATTAACTGACGAGCTACCCTCAATCTGCATAAAGTATTTAACTTATCATTCATTGGTCTTCATACCTATCTTTTCACTGGCCTCAGCCCTCTTAAATGACTTGTTGTGTAAGCTTAAACTACATCACTAAATCAGTATTTACTACTGTAACCACATGGACATACAGCTCATTTGCCTTATTACAATTCCATCCGTTGCTCTTATCTGTTATTCTCCTTCACTGGGATGATCATAACAGTAATCACAGGTGGAAAGGAAGTAATAAGGTACAAATGGTGGCTCTTTCCCATCTTCCCCCTGCCCAAAAGTTTCAATATCTTGCGTGACGAGACACTATATATCAATCCACAATATATTACTCAAATCATTACATACCTCACAATGACATACAAGATACAGAATTTCAAACAGGCGAACTTTCTGATACTTTCATGCAAATCATAACTTTAAGTATACCTTCTTACACAGGATTTACAATTCTCATAACGGGGACTTCTAAAAGTATATGACGCTGTGAAGCCAGCAGAAATTCGTTGACGTTCTGGAGATACGCACTCCCTCCATTTTCAGAGTCGAAGAGTATGCCAAAGCACCTGCCTGCTGGGTACTCTTGGACCTTGAAACTGGACGGAGATAGGTTCCTCCGTAACGTCGGTGTACTTCTACCGGGGTATACGGCGAGACATCCCAAAAGATGCCTACTGAACTTCATGATTATCCTTGCTTTCGTAGTACGTCTGACCCATGATTCAAGCAACTGTCCTCTGAAACCTTGTATATATATGCATGTGGGCTTCCCATGGTTGCTGTAACTTACTTTTGCGCCTTCTTTTAACATCTGCGACACACCTGGAGCCTTAGGCACGTGTAACGCCATGTTTATAGTAAATATACTTCAACACACTTTTAAAAGAAAAGACGGGATTTCGAACGCCTAACCAGCGTCCACTCACAAGAACAAGACCGACCAAGACTAACACCACTTAACGTCCAACCAAATTGCGTGAAAATTATATTACACTTTTATCCCTTTTAACAGACACAGTTCCATACGTCTCTGAAGTTAACACCCAACGACACCACACTCACAGCGCTCAAAGAGGTGAATCAGAATCCTGAATTACACTATCGAAAGTATATATATATTTCCGGAACACGGATTACTATTCCAGAATACTATCGATACATTTGCCATAAGCAATTGAATTTTCTGAACATTATAATGTATTCTTTGTTTCAGTCTTCATGATCACCTCTTTAGTTATACTGAGAATATAGTAATACTCTAATAGGAGAACCCGTATTTTTCAATATCGCCGTCAGTTCTAAGAACTGAAGCTACATTTAATTCCCATCGTCGTAACCGATTTCCCTAAAATCTGTCTTAAATTTATTTTCCTACTTCTGATCTTTCACGCAAGCTATTTCCACGAAGTTTGACCCAGAATAATTCGTAGTTACCTCCGATTTGGCTACATGCTCAGGTCATCATAGACTTAAATTTCAGTGTCCTAATAATACACGTGGGTGCAGCCGGGATACCTTCGTTCAAAGTTTTCCAATGTTGTGGGAGGCGAAGCCAGAAATTCTGCGTACAACTGACGTTTAAGCAGTTCAAGACTATTTTACAAGCTACACTAGAGTAGTTACGACAGCAAATTATTTTTTAAATACTTACAGTTTGATATATTTTCTTACGTTCTTAAAATTTGATTTCCAAAAATCCAAGGAGACGCAGATGTCCCCAGTCCCTGACGTCTCTCATGATAACACTCACTATAAGTGTATAATATATATCTATTGCATATTTTCTGGTTATGATCCAAAATTGCTCACATCACCCTTCTTAGATAATAATATTCTCTTGACGCTTTGGTTTAATAAAAGAATTGTACTTTATATTCTTCCTCAATTGTAGAAGCCCACCATGCAGAACCGTTGGTGACACTATTTTATATATCATAATTTTTAACATCATAGGCAAAATAAAATTCATTCTTCCCAAATATCATCAGGAATCTCGTTTCATTTAGTCAGAATTTGAAGTCTTCACGTCGGTGAGTATCAAAGTGAAGTCTTCTGGAATGTGATGCCGGATAATTTGGTAGATTGGTACGGACTTGCTGAAGGAACCTGCTGTTTCCATCTTCAGAGAACACTTCTACGTTGATGATAGTATATAATTAATGTTATTAAGTGCCGACGCATGGTAAAATCATACATACATTCACATTCAAACAACAACAGATAATAAATGTAAATAAAAATAAACTGAAAAATTAATTATATTTACAGTCAAATTTGAGCTTCCTGGAGGAAGGAGGGTAAGCCTCCTGTAGTCAGGGACACCGGGAGCGGTCGAGCCTTGACAGTCGGTTGTACCTATATCCCTGTTTCTATTTATACTTAGTTTTAGATAGATTCTTGGTTGCCTGTAGGAGAATTTATGACTTGGTATTTGTGATTACGAATTTAATATTGTGTAACTGTGCCAATTCGTGTATGTGACATTTAATGCCATCTAGTACCAAATTAATATATATCTGAAGGAACTACTTTTATCTATAATGCAGTGCAATCAATGATTCTGTTCGGGAACAACCGGAACCGAGCTATATTTGTACATTTAAGGGTATTCGTTTATTTGGACGAAGGGCGTAAACAACAGCAATATTCTAATTTATTTCAAGTGTACAGTGAAACAAATTCTTGCTCTTGTCGCAGTGCTTTGTAAAGCAACTGCATAAGTAGTAAGAGGCCACTGTTGCGGCCTGGTTTTGTGTTGGATAGCGTTAAAACCACGCCCTTAAAATAGGCCTGTCAGATACTGCTGTTATGGACATGATGATTTCCAACTTGCAGCAACAACGGCAAGTTACCGAGCAGCTGAGGAGAGAAGCTGCTATTAAACGTATAAGTGTCTCTCAAGCAGTGCTAGATATAATGAAATATATAACTGAGCATGAGCAAGAGGATTGTCTCTTGGTTGGATTCAGTTCTCAGAAAGCCAATCCGTTCAGAGAGAAAAGCAGCTGCACTCTCCTGTAAATGTTGCTTACACAGTTTGTGATTGCTTTATGAAATTGATAAAGCACATGTCAACTTGGCTCTTCGGTTCATCATGGCATTTGTGGAAAATTAAGCGTTTAGTGTAATACTTTTTTATGTACCATGTAAATGTGTGTTATGAAAATGTTTTGGTAAAGCTCATCTGTTGTGTGAGACTGTCTTTTCTTATCTCATACCCAGTTCGAAGTCTGCTGTGCCTAATGAGTAATGAAAATTGTATCCCAACATACATTGGTCTTTTACCAGTATTATATTTTTGTACATGTAACATAGGTAGAATGAGCAATGAAACATAATTGAATTTCATGATAGTTACTACAATAGCAGTTGTACTGTCACGTGTTGGGTATGCACGCGACAGTATGTTTTGGTTATATATTGGCCATTGACACAGCCCCAGTTTTACAAATCAGTGACATACAATTGAATTTCATGCCACAAAATAAGTTGCAGGAAAAGCAGCTATTTGTACAGCACTGCTCCCTTTTAAACCTTATATCTAAAAGTGGCAAATTCTGTGACAACTTATGTAAGTGCAAATTGATCCTTCAAGAGAATTACAATTTTTATTAGTAGTGGTGGTAGTAATATTGTCATTTACTATTCAACCAAAATTCAGGATAATAGAAGTTAAATTCACATTTCTTACTGTAGTACATTGCAGTGCCTGTCATTATTTATAGTATTTATCAGCAGTGAAGTAAACTTCTGATTCTGATACATATCTACAAATGAGATGCAGACAAATGAAAAATGTATGTAAAATTTCAAAGAATTGTGGTAGCAGTGTTGTACAGAATAATTCACTGTACTGGTGAAGTTTGCCATAAATAAATATGTGTAATATATTGGGAAATTTTGATGAAAGTAGGCTGTGAAAGGGGCATATTTGTTGTTGCTTTAAATATGTTTCTTTGCATAATATTTTCTCTCTATTTCACATTTGAAAGAATTGTTCATCTAGCAACAACATTAAACACTAAAATGTGGAGAGGGAAAAAATATTGATGTGAAACACCATTTAGTCACTGAAATTAATTGAAAAAGTAATTATAAAAATTAATTTCTCTAGTTGTGGTAACGTATATACATAATGCTAATTGGAATTTACAAACATAAATTAAGCCATGAACAGAAAGAAGTCAGCTGTCCTCTGATTGAGAAGTGTTGTTAATTTTCATAAATTTGATGGATCAAGAAATTAACTCCTGGAGCTAGATTATAAGACTAATTTGGTATTCTAGTTGTAGGCCAGCAAGGTTTTGTAGCATTCAGTTTTATATGTTCTGTATTGTGGCATCTGTTGCATCATATTTAATATTTCATTTCTGCATGTACTTCACCAGTGGAGCTGATGTCTGTTAAATTCAGAAGCCGTAAGAGTAAAATTTCTCTAGTTTGTTTCTCATTGCTGTTTTATTTTTCAGTCATAAATCTTGGTCTGTAGTTAGCTGTGTACAATTGATGTTGCTTTGTTTCCATGCTGTCAAACTTGCAGACATTTGTAGACAAAAATATGGAGACCCAATGTGATCACTGCTACAAGTATAAATGAAGTTCATAATGATTCTGAACAGTATAAATCTGTTTCACATGAATATATAATGCTAGTAAGGGTATTATGGGTTCTAGGCTGTACTACAATTTCCCACTTTTTCATGCCATAGAAAGATTTTTATTCTAAAATTTAGAACTGTAGGTGTAATCTGACCTATAGTCTGTCCAATGTTAGTAGACTGTTTCTTTTATGACAGCTGTGCTGTAATATGTTCCACTTAGAAAAGCAGCACTAGCCATTCAAACACACTTTGCTTCTTCATGATTACTGAAAACCTGTGTACAATCTTTTGAAGCATAGTGGACTGATTTGTGTTGAGAGAAAACTGAATTAACATTAGGGAAAGCTGTTAGGTTCTTAGTCTAAAAAGTATCATACATTATTATTTCATTATTTACATGATGTACATAAGATACACATATGAAGGAAGTAATGTCTTTTATGTCCATCCATATCTCAGATTGCTGGACAGATTTGATGAAATTTCATTTGAATGTTATGCCACTTGAAGTGTGTACTTTCTGTTGTTCTGAAATTGGCAATAGCATGATGGATGTACAAATGTACACACTCCTATGCAAATGTTTAGTCATGGGGCAGTTACTGTTACATGTGGTGGTTTGATCAGTGCTACAGAAAATAACATACGGTCAAAAAGAAGCTGATTGGAGCAACTAGTCTCACTGAAAATGCCAAGGTATGGGTAGCATGCATGAAAACATTAACATTACTGCAAGATTGCAAAAGAAAAATGCAGCGTTAGACTTCATATGGGTGACACTGTTGGAAGTAATGGTCTTAAAGGTTTAATAATAATACTGGGCATGCCAAGGGAATGGATATACTGAGGTACACTATGCTCTCAAATCACTAATACATACTTACCATGAAAATGTCTTTTATTAAAAATTAATCATCTCTTTATGGGAAAATGGGAAGCATGGTCAGAGCTCTAACAAAAGTTCCAGCTGTTTTGAGCCCAGTAACTTGTATATTTATTTTCCTGTTATCCAAAAATCAGTGCTGTCACAAGCTAATAAAGAAATTGTAAAATGTGCTTCCCAGACAGCGACTTCTTTTACCTGTGCTGTTGCACCATCCCTGTCCAAACAAAAGAAATTACGGTATGTGTAATGAGAATTTCTTTTTGAGGTGTGTTGTGTAAATTGCTGTTAAGAGTGAAAGCATTCTTGCTCTTGTTTATATTGGCATTGACAATACTTAAGATATATTCTTCATAAAGAAATGTTCCCCATATGTATATGTAAGTCACTGTATGCTATGCATTCAACTCTTTCTTCTACCATTCGCAGTCAGTCGGGTAAGAATTACTAGAATACATAGGTAAATGCTTCTGTTACAACTGATGCATTGTTTTGCTGCAGCTTAAAATCTGGAAGCAGAGTCTAGTATAAAGTCATTAGAATTCTTTATGAACATGAAAGATAAACTGGGATTATGTTTGATGGTATTTGTCATTTTGTGAATAAAACATTGTGTTTCATTGTGAGTGACAAAGTGTTTCTTGTGTCTGTTTACATTAGGTTGGCATTTTCAAATTTCAGATGAAAACAG